AATTTGTTTGTTGATATGTCCGTTGTGGTGGAAATGGGCTTCGTCGGAAAACGAGATGTTTTCATCTGGCTACCTATTGTGGAAAGAGGAGTTCTACAAGCAAGTGGATGGTGTGGCGATGGCCTCACCTGTATCTCCCATTGTCGCCGACCTATTCATGGAAGACTTTGAGGAGAAAGCCCTGCTTACTTCTCCCATAAATCTAAGATTCTACAAGCGGTACGTAGAAGACACTTTCACAATTCTACCTTTAGATAAAGTAACTGCATTTTTAGGCCATCTTAACTCTATAAATTCTAAAATTCAGTTCACAATGGAGTTAGAGGCAAATAATTCTTTAGCTTTTCTAGAATTTTTAAAAAAAAAAGGGGGCAAACGAGCATGCGGCTCACCTGGTTTTAAGTGACTACCGCCGCCCATGATCAACTGCAACACCAGGGGAATTGCAGGTGCGTTGCCGGCCCATTAGAAAGGAGTACACTCTTTTCTTGAAGGTCCCCAGGTCGTATCGGTCCGGAAAAATCGCTGGTGGTAAATTATTCCACAGAGAGGTTGTACGCGGAAGAAAACTCCTCTTGAAACGTACAGTGGTGGACCGCCAAGCATCCAGATGGTGTGGATGGTATCGGGACGTTTGCTGCGTAGTGCGTTCATCGTCGTTTCTTTTAAATTTACTTCCTGAAATCTGTAATTGAGACTATTTTTACACAAACAACTAGCACCTCAATCACACTTTCTGACACACCGTACACAACCCACTTATTCATCACAAGTTTTATATTACTTTAAATATTTATTATTATCATATCAAGTTATTATGTCCTAAATGGTTAGTATTAAAAATAAATATCTAAGAATAGGTCTATTAAACGCCAGATCTCTGAATACTGGGCAGGATGAATTTCTTGTGGCTGTCCGTAATCACACTCCTGATATATTAGCTATAAATGAAACGTGGTTAAAAGATGGAAAAGATGAATTTGCGCCTATAATACCAAATTATAAGTTTGTGCATAGAGGTAGGCAACAAAAAAAGGGAGGAGGTGTAGGCTTCTATATTAAGCAGGAAATAAATACTAAAGTACGGCAACACCCAGCATCGTCTCTAGAGCAGATGTGGCTAGAAATTCAACTCCCGGGAGCTTCAACGGCCCTTGGCACGGCCTAAGGACCTAACAGTGTTGGTGTTACAGAAACACTGGACGCTCTGAGTGACTCCCTGAATTCAATGGCACAATGCGATTACACTTGCATACTTGGCGATTTTAACGTAGATATGACTAACAAACATTGCAATAGAGCAAAAGATATAATGCAATTCTGCTATCAACATAACCTTGAACAACTCGTCAAAGAACCAACGAGAGTCACTGATCAGACTGAAACTATTTTATATCTCGTCATGACTAACACTCCCTCAAGATGCAAAAATATTAAACTTATACACAATCGTTGTCTTAGTGATCATGCATTGGTGCTGTTAGATTTGGACATAAGAAAACCAAAATTTTATAAACAAGTAAAACAACAGAGATTACTAAGAAATATTAAATCCGAAGCTTTCGCAAGAGATCTGACACTTATACCCTGGGACTCTATCTATAATCTAGAGAACGTAGACGAAATGGTTCAGACTTTCAACGCATATATGAGTCAATTATTTGATGCTCATGCATCTGCCCTTACGCTGACGATAAGGGACAAACCAAAGCCATGGATTACAGATATGTTGCTATTCATGATGAGTTTACGTGACGATGCGTTAGAAAAAGCCCAAGGAAGGATAAAAAAGATTGTTCAAATGAATACTACCGAACCCTTAAAAATTTTGTCACAGCAACCCGTAAACGCGAAAGAAAAGCTTACTTTAACCATTATATAAACAACAACTTAAAAGATCCGAGGTCACTGTGGCGTAATATAAAAATGCTGCACAAATTAAAACTACTCATTTAAATACAACCCCACACCATCTCAATGACCCGAATATTACTAATGACTATTTTCTAGACTTGCCGCCATGTGACAAACCAGAACTCAAACAAGATTATAAAGTATGTAACGAATGCTCACACGATACCCTATTCGACCTAAACCCGACAAATGAAATAGAAATCAGTAAGAT